AACATTCAACATAAGAAAAGAAAGCAATCTATCCTTTTGCTTTGCTGTAAAGGATTCCCTCACATCGGAAAACTTGTAAATGGCTGCTCGTATTTGAAATCGCCCTATAATGCATTGCAAACCCTTGAGCACCGAGAACGTCATGTATGCCTACCGATTGTGTCTCTTGAAATGCGTGAATCCTTCACAGATATTACATTAGCTACGAACACAAAATTAGCGGCCAAAAAAGTCTTGGAAGTTTTTTCTTTACAGATTTTATGCATTGTGTTCTTTTCTGAGTAAAATTCCTACTTGATTGTTATCACTTAGTTGCCAATTGGCAACTCAAGATTTTTTTCTAATTTTAGGCCCTTGACTCTGACAGTTTGAGCCATATCCAGGAGCCCATTATGGGCTTCTGCCATATCATAAAGCAGAAGTCTTCATCTTTCTTGTACTTGCCAAATAAAATACTCTTCAGAAATCGCCCTATTATGCACTACGGGCATTGCGATATGCTGTTAGCACTTCATGTTTATACCCTTGAGTCAACTTTGGTCAGGAGCCCAGCACTAGGAGCCTGCAACTCCCATACTAAGCCTATGTCATGGTATTTTTACAGAACGGTCTATTTTTAGGCTTCCTTTCCCACGAAAAAGGTCAGTTCCGGACTATATGAGCGCGAATCGGTAATGAGAAAAATGGCGGCCTCAGGTGGACATGTCGACCTAATCTTCTGGTGAAATTATAAAGTCTATGCTTGTGATTGGTCACTGAGGTTCCTGGGGGTGGGGGCGAATTCGCGGTAAATTCAAACTAAAAGTAGATCGGTCTGTGAAAACGCCGGGACAGGAATAATTGGGGTAGTTGTACACTAATAGTGATGGGCTCCTGCTTTAGAGGGACACAATCAGCTGGAGCACATGCGCATTAGATACCATTTCATAGCTAATTTGCATATCACAGAGACGCGATCCATACTGTTTTTAACCAAATATGATAAAAATGATATCATAGGACTGAGCAAAAGCACACTCAAAAACAGGTTTTTCAATGAACGATTGAAAATCAAGAAAAACACTGCAAAGATTGAAGCGGATTTCTAGATGTACTTTGATTTCAGATTGAGGTGAACTTTTTTCAAAGTGAGAAAACTAGTGTCCAGGTCAGCGTGTTCCCAAAGCTGACTGTTTCCCTTTAATGGTAAAACAGACCATTTTACAGTTGTCTGCTCAGTGACCTGGCCATTGGATGGCAGCGAAGCTCGGGTTGACCTTGTTTTGATACAGACCTCACTGCTTTTGTCATGTGAAGGCACCTAGTTAGCATCAGAACAACTTGTTTTACACAACAAAAGCAGTGAGGTCTGTATCAAAACAAGGTCAACTCCAGCCTCGCTGCCATCCAAAGGCCAGGTCACTGAGCAGACAACTGTAAAATGGTCTATTCAATAGGAAACTAGGTTTGCTTGAAGAACATATAATCAGGAGATAACCAGGAGAGATCCGTGCAGTCATCTTGTAGATAAAGTCATATAATCATCATAAATGACAAATAGATCAAATTTAAATGCAGTTTTGAACGATTTGTATTGAAAATCTTTACAGTATGCCAATTAATTATGCTAATCATTTATGCTAATTTATTATGCTAATTTATTATGCTAATCATTATGCAAATTAATGTCCGGTCAAATTGATAAGATTTCCGACCAAAGTGAAGATTTGAAAGGGCACATGTCCTGTTAAAGAAGAAAAATTATTTCCAGCACTGCTCTGTATAATTAAAATACATCTCTTTACAGGTCCTCTTCTACTACAAGAAAATTTGCATGTGCTAGACATTCCTCAAAAGCAGAAAACTGAGCTATCAATTGTTTTGTCCGGTAAGTATAAACTTTATCCAGCTTCTAAAGGACTCCATTTGCATTCCTTGATTATTTTGTTATTATGTGAAGTATATATGAAATAATTCATATGTGAACTGCGGTTGTAGATGAAAGTGAAGAATGATCATCGCAGTAAATTTTCCAATTTAAGCAATNAACAAAAGCAGTGAGGTCTGTATCAAAACAAGGTCAACTCCAGCCTCGCTGCCATCCAAAGGCCAGGTCACTGAGCAGACAACTGTAAAATGGTCTGTTCTCAAACTGCAACATTTTGGGAACATTCCTCATAAAACTCTGCAACCTCAAGGTACCAGCCACTCCCCCCCACCTCCCTCTTGAAAAATCTTGATTCTGCCCTGTTTAGTTTTTGTTTAAAAACACTTTCAATATTTTATTACCATTTCTGATGTTCATTGATCACTACCAACTTAATACTAAGTGTTCAAATTGCTGTTTATTACATATTTGAGACCTGCAAAGACAGTAATTTTTGTAAGTTTGATATGTTGAGCCATTTACAAAGCTGAATGGAATTTAAGACGACTATTCTTAATAGTTGTATAAACAACTACAAATTAAACAGTTCTGGTCAGTTATTACTTATGAAAATATCATCCATTTTCTAAGATTTAACAATTTTATCCAAATATAAATACTTCTGCCTACAACATGAAAATGACATTTTAAGAACTTATCCCAATCCAGAAGATGTAAAGTCTTCCTTTTTTGACACCCATAAATTATCGTGTACATCTGTCTATATAAATAAGTCATACTTGTTGTTCCTCATTTCTCACAACACTTAAAATCATAGATATCTGCAATTTTCTTCAAGCAATTCTCTTGACTTTCACAGAGAGAGACCTGACATTCTAGTAAAAAACATTCCATGTTGTGGGTAAATACACATTTATACAAAGAATGAAGTGTGTGTACATAACACTGAATTTTTCTGTCCTTTCATAGCTAGAGATGCATTATCATTCCTATTAAATGCTAGTAGCTGGTAATTTTCTTCAGAGCTTCAAAACATCTCCACTTGTCTGGCAGGTAAAATGGCTCAAAGATATGGGGAAAGGGTGTGTCCCAGCCACACACACGCTGGATAGGAGCTTCAAGAGACAAGAAACAGTGTTCCTGTGATAAAGAGAAAACTCTGTTAGAATGCACACTACTGTTATGGAGAGCAATTGTAAATACTAAGTTTCTGGTAATTTCTAGAATGTTTACCCATGCAAATGTTTGTATGGGTCTGAACCATCTACTGTCATGCTCACGCCACAGGACAGTTTAGAACATTCTACCAAATGATGTAATTAATAGAAGTAGAAGTAATTAATTATTATATTAATTACCATGTAATGCTACATAAATAGTTTTGTTAAAAGCTCCAAGAATGTTCCAAAAATTGACTAATTGTATATAAGGACTCTGTAAGCTAGCGTTGGTTGTTGTTGTCGGCAGAAAAAAACTAAAGAAGCTATCAAGCTACCAAGAGAATCATTGAGAGCTATTGAGGAACCTCATTTAAAGTCAAGGGACAGTGACATTTACTGTGGGTTTGTGTCAGTGGTGACTGAAGTTTTAGTTGTAGGCTTAAGTTTGTTCAAATGATGATAGATTGCATTGTTTAGAAGTTGCTCCTTTGTAGGACTTCACTAGGTATCATTAAATAAATAAGTTGGGTTTGTAAAAGAGTTTTGCAGTGTATCTTTTCTGTCAGTTGAGTGGTACCATAATACTAGACACAGTAACACCACTTTAAAAAATTACATTGACATGAAAAGAGTCTTTCAGAATAATTTTATGAAGTTCATATTATCAACAAATTTAATGAATAGCTGATATCTGTGGGTCAAATAACTTTTTTTCCAGTTCAAAGTCAAGGTCCAGCTTGAACCTGTCCAACATCAGGAAAACCATGTTGACTCCCAACAATAGTTGTGGAAGGTAAATCAAAATTACCTGTACAGTACTGCTAATCTCTGCTGCAAATCCTCCTGTCAAAGGAGCTTCATGTGCTATCAATAGCCTCCCTGTTTTGAGTACAGACTAGCAAAGGAAAAATGGAGTTTAGTTGCTCGATGTACGCAACGTGAATTCCAGACAGCTAAAATCACTTGATATACCCAGTTTCACTATCCTCAGTTACAACCTAATTCTGAGTTATACATACATGTAGTTGTGTGTATTGGACATTGTTAAAGGCTGTTTACTGTCAAACTGATATTAAGAACCAACTACCTTGATTACAGTCTCTTCATCCCAAGGAAGAATTGTTCGAAGATCAATTAGTTCACAGTTGACTCCCAGCTGATCTTTGGCCATTTTACAGACATCACGCAAAACATGGATCTGTGTACCCCACCCAACCAGAGTCACGTCAGAACCTACAATTGTGAATAAATTAACAAAAAAAGAGCAAAATGTTATTTGCTGGGTACAAGCCAGTAAAAAGGGCCAGTTAACCAAGTTAATACCTTAACATACAGTATACCTTCTTCTAGTATTTCTGCCTCAGAGAGTGGTATTTCATAATCTCCTACAGGCACTTCTTCTACAGCTTGTCTGTACAAGATCTTGGGTTCAAGGAAAATGACTGGGTTTTTGTCTCTGATAGAAGAAAGAAGAAGTCCTTTGGCTTGAATAGGCCCTCTGGGTATAACAACCTACGAGGAATTATTAAATGAAATGATTTTTCAGTTTTAGTGGTAATGTCTGTTTCCTAACTGGAATGATTTGGCTTTACCTTAAATTACTAGTTATCACTGTTGGGTAATGATATTGATTAGTATAAGAAACGATTCTATAATAAATGCTTTGGTCTCTTGTCATTTTTAGCAGACAAACCATAATGAAAGTTTATTAAAAATCTATAAAAAAAATTAAAAAAAACGTTCACTGGCTATATAAAGTTAAAACTTTCAGAGCTTTCGGCTGTCAGACTACAGCCTTCGATGGATAAAAAATGGAAAAGATAACAAC